GCTCTCTTTACAGGAAGTGTTTATGGAGGCTGTGCAGGTCACATGCAGGGAAGTGTGACTAGGGTTCATAAACAAAGGGATTTAACTCCTAAATGGCAGAGGATTGAGCAGTGAGGCTGCAGGGGCATGTTCTATATACCAAAACGGCTTCATTAAGCTAAAGTTGATCAGGTGACTATAGTGTCCCTTTAAGTCATCAGAAATAATCACCCCTAAATTCCTTTCCTCATAAGTTGAGGTTAGGACTCTATCAAATATTCTGTACTCTGCCCTTGGGTTTTTACGTCCAAGATGCATTATCTTGCACTTATCCACATTAAATGTCAGTTGCCACAATTCTGACCATTTTTCTAGTTTACAGTGCTTGAGGAAAGAAAAAAGTAAAGCGTATACTGCCATAGGCTACGCATTGACTATGATTACAAGGTTCAATCTGAGTAATAAGGAAAATATGGGTAGAAAACACAGATGTAGCAGTCAGTAGTTGCCACTGTATGATTCAAAGTAGGCTATAGCTTATATTAAGTGTTCTTAGAGTAGTGAAGAAAAGGTAAATTAGGAAACATGACTATAAAAACAGAGAGTAAAGTCAGCCTGACTGTAGATATAAATTGCGTGTCTGCGTCCTGTCCGCCCCAGGCCCCAGCACAGTCCAGATCACTGTGCTCACAAGTCCTAGCACGATTTGTCACAAGAGCTTGGTCCTGTGGCCATCCGTAGGGATACTTCTGCGCAGGAAGCTGTAGCCTTCTGAGGGAGTGGGCAGTGTCCAGGGAAAAATCCCGGTATGGGCTGCGACCTGGGCCAACAGTGTTTCTCGGCAAGACCTGGTCTTCGGCGTCGAGGAGTTCGCTTCCACCTCTTTACCCCTGGCACAGCGTTAGAGTGTATTTGATTGCCTTTTAGTTTGTTGTGGGGGGGCACCTGTGGGACCCTGGTGGAAGCGTAGAAGCGTTGGGTATGTGCGGCCCAGAAATCTGCCGCACATACCTAATAGATTGTCAGTCTCTCCATGAAAGTGGATTGTGTATCTCGAGATGCTAGGTTGCTTGTAGCATCCGTCATCTTGCCTCTTGTTGGCCGGCTGTCGCAGATGATAGTTTGGTGGTATTCCGCCAGTGCAGCACTAGTAAGAGGTGCTGGAATATCCCCCACCGGCGGAGTGTGAGGGAAAATGGACACCGGAACTGGCCTGTGAGATAGACCTAGTGCTCAATGCTAAGCCTGGGCTGTAATATGGGGTATCCAGGGTGAAAGAAATACAGATTTTAGGCTGGAGGAGTGACCTATATTGTATGTATATTAAAAGTCAATATTCCAAAATATCTGAGCTGGCACAGCAGTTTAGAAAGATCAGACTTCTACAACTCTATCATAATAGCATTCCAAATATTGTCACTTTCTAAAATTTCTAACCCAAATTTTTGTGGGCTCCCTTGACAATGTTTGTTTTCAACACAGCTTTTTAAGCCAATCTGTAGGTTAGAATTTGAATAAATCAATTCCCAGCAATGGACTACATAGTTTTGACGCTGTGAAACTCTTCAGCAAGATGCTGACCTTTATAGATATAGCAAAAAAATAGGTCAAGCACTTTCCCATTACTTGGTTAGAGTATAAGAAAACAATCCAGCAAGAAAAGCCACACTATCCATAAACAAAAACAAAAAAACAACAAAAAATAATTAGTCATGTCAAACAGTATAATTTGTAGATCTAGCTTGTAGTCAATCCAATATGAAAAACATAAGTTAGGCAATGATAGAGATTAGAGATCACAGAATAGTATTCATGGTCGAATGTATAGAATAAAAGTAATTAATATATTCAAAAGCTGTGTTAAAGGGATTCTCCAATGCCAGGACTCTGCAGTACCCCTTCAGTGAATTGCCTGAATCCAGCAGCACCGATGTCCCTGGGCACTGGGTCTGGATCCGCCCACACTCCTCCCCCACCAGTCAATGCTTTCCTACGGGGATTCCGGCGACGCTGGAGGTCCTCATGCATAGCGTGAGGACGTCCAGCGTTGTTTAAAACACTTTTCGTGTTCTAAGAACACGGAAGTCCCCCTAGTGGCTGTTTGGTAGACAGCCACTAGAGGAGAACTTAACCCTGCAAGGTAATTATTGCAGTTTATAAAAACTGCAATAATTACACTTGCAGGGTTAAGGGTGGTGAGAGTGTCCCTTTCAGCCCTACAGATTAACAGCGTGGGTGGTACAATCCCACTTCGGGATATTTGATGGTGTGGTTGCTCTGTTTGTTTGACTTCTGGTATATTATTTCACACCATTAGAGATACCTATTATTGTCTGAATCATGTATTGTATATTGGATTGACTACAAGCAAGATCTTTAAGTTGCATGGTTTGGCACAATTTAAAAAAACTTTATGTGTTTTAATGATGCCGACTTTTGTTCAGTTTTGGTAATCTCGTGGACGGCATCCAGCTATAAAAGTATCAGATACCTTGATGTTCAACATCTACATATCCGGAGGAAAAATTAAAATAAAGGAAAAAGATGTAGCAAATCTGAAAGATTTTGTTTCCAGTCTTGGACTCTGATGCAAAAGTAAAGATTTGAATGATCCAATGCCAAACCAAACCATCAATTCTGCAGTTGTCTCCAAAATAATACAGGTGATACTCGAAAAATTAGAATATCGTGCAAAAGTTCATTTATTTCAGTAATGCAACGTAAAAGGGGAAACTAATATATGAGATAGACGCATTACATGCAAAGCAAGATAGTTCAAGCCGTGATTTGTCATAAGTGCGATGATTATGGCTTACAGCTCATGAAAACCCCAAATCCACAATCTCAGTAAATTAGAATAGTACATGGAATCAATAAAACAAGGAGTGTACAATATCGGACCTCTGAAAAGTATAAGCATGCATATGAACTCAATACTTGGTTTGGGCCCCTTTTGCAGCAATTACTGCCTCAATGCAGCGTGGCATGGAAGCTATCAGCCTGTGGCACTGCTGGGGTGTTATGGAAGACCAGGATGCTTCAATACTGGCCTTCAGCTCTTCTGCATTGTTCGGTCTCATGTTTCTCATCTTTCTCTTGGCAATGCCCCATAGATTCTCTATGGGGTTCAGGTCAGGCGAGTTTGCTGGCCAATCAAACACAGTAATCCCATGGTCATTGAACCAGGCTTTGGTGCTTTTGGCAGTGTGGGCAAGTGCAAAGTCCTGCGGGAAAATGAAGTCAGCATTCCCATAAAGCTCGTCTGCGGAAGGAAGCATAAAGTGCTCCAAAATCTCCTGATAGATGGCTGCGTTGACCCTGGACTTAATGAAGCACAGTGGACCAACACCAGCAAATGACATGGCTCTCCAAATAAATACAGACTGTGGAAACTTCACACTGGACTTCAAGCATCTTGCACTGTGTGCCTCTCCATTCTTCCTCTAGACTCTGGGTACTTGGTTTCCAAATGAGATGCAAAAGTTGCTCTCATCAGAAAAGAGGACTTTGGACCACTGAACAACAGACCAGGTCTGTTTTTCTTTAGCCCAGGTAAGACGCTTCTGATGTTGTTTGTTGTTCAGGAGCGGCTTGACAAGAGGAATAAGACTTCTGAAGCCCATGTCCAGGATCCGTCTGTGTGTGGTGGCTCTTGATGCACTGACTCTAGCCTCAGTCCACTCCTTGTTAAAAGTCGCCAAAACCTTTGAATGGCCTTTTCCTGACAATCCTCTCCAGGCTGCGGTCATCCCTGCTGCTTGTGCACCTTTTTCTTCCACACTTTTCCCTTCCACATAACTTTCTATTAATATGCTTTGATACAGCACTTTGGGAACATCCAACTTCTATGCAATTACCTTTTGAAGCTTTCCCTCCTTATGGAGTGTGTCAATGATGGTTTTCTGCACAACTGTCAGGTCAGTAGTCTTCCCCATGATTGTGATTCCTACTGAACCAGAGAGACCATTTAAAGGCTCAGAAACCCTTTGCAGGTGTTATGACTTACTTAGCTGATTAGAGTGGGACACTGTGAGCCTAGAATATGGCACCTTTTCACAATATTCTAATTTACTGAAATTGTGGATTTGGGGTTTTCATGAGCTGTAAGCCATAATCATCGCACTTAGGACAAATCACAGCTTGAACTATCTGGCTTTGCATGTAATGTGTCTATCTCATTTGTTAGTTTCCCCTTTTACGTTGCATTACTGAAATAAATGAACTTTTGCATGATATTCAAATTTTTCGAGTATCACCTGAATGTTGAGGAAAATGCTTGTCTCATCTGTTGGAATAAAAAAAAAAAAGTTTACAACAATTACCTTTTTTTTGGTTACATTTTAGCTATAACATCTACAAAAATGCCATCTATATATCAAACAATCTAAAATGAAGGTAAAAGACCATATTATGACCATAAATGGCTTAAAAAGAGTGCAACCAATTAAATAAACTTAAACAAAAAAAATGTTTTTTGTTTTTTTTAATTCTTTATTTTTGTTTGTGCATGAATTGAACAATCTGGCTTGCTACGCTACAATAGCTGCAGGAAGCCTTTCAATAGCAGAACATAACATGGCATAAGAAAATACTGTGCACATTTTTTTTCTAAAAGGTCGGATGGAACTAGGTTTTGTCATAACATATTATAATTTTTGAAGCTTTTCCTATTCATCTGTGACATGTTGCATTTTTTACTTAAATTACACACTAAACAAATTGCACACTAAACAAATTAACTTTTCTATATGAATGCTAGGCTAGGTAGACTTATGAGAGTATTAGTTACGCTTAAAGTTATGAAAAGGTATGTGGTGTTGCAGTTTCGAGAGGGGTATACGGTATGCTTATTTAACAGGTTAAAACATGTCTCTTGTATGGTGTGACTATACGATCCTGAACATGCTAGGTGAGTATACCCCTTAGCTTGTAGTGTCCAAAAGATATATCGCTAAAACCGTTTGGATGTGCGAAAGTCCCTCTCTGGGTAAGTTGGCGTAGGGGGGATCGCGTTCCCAGGATCATGATGTGGCGTTGTGAAACGTGTCAGGTCCCCCTGCTCCTGGACCGTGGTGTTGATGGGTCCCCGGCGTTTCACCCGATGCCGCATTGGGGCTGTGCAGAGCCTCGTTGTGGATTCTCGTGGGACTCCACTGTGATGTGGTGAATGCACGGGTGTAGCTGGGTAAACGGGTGTAACTAGGGTTGGTTAGTAATGCCGCTGGGCCTAAGTAGGGTGGCCCTCCGGGTGGTGAGTGGTCTGGGTGCTGAGGGTTAGGTGGCTGCTGTCTGGGTGGACAGTTTGAGATGAGTGGACCTGGAGCCCCTTGTTGTAGTCTGAGCTCTAGCTTGAGCCAGAAATCTTGGAAGATTTTATCTATGTTGGACGAGGGGTGTCTTAATGTCTCGTGGCTGACTGGTGGCCGCATGGTCTCCAAAATCTTAGGTGGGCTGCTCGGCTCTCCAGCCATCTCCCCAGTTATTTTCGCCGTGTTGGGGGGGGAACCCCCAGGGGTGGACCGGGATCACCCCCGCCATTCCAGAGGGGGGGTTGTGGGGTATCTGCTTGTGGCAGTCGGTTTCCATGTGGCTCCAGGCTGGGAGATCGGCCGCCTCTCCCGCCCAGTGCGCGCCAGGCCGCATGCCCTTGCGGGTATAGTCTGCTGTCTGCTGTCCCCTCATGGGCCGCATCACCGGTTCACCATTAGGGTAGAGGGCTGTTATGTCGCTTGGGGTCGTGTGCTGCTGTTTGTTGTGGTTTAGAGGTGCCATTTTAGCCATTTTTACAAAGATTTCTGTGGAGCTTCAGTTAGGCACGTCTTCCCTCCATAAAAGAAAAAATGTTTTTAAGCCCTTAAGGACCAAACTTCTGGAATAAATGGGAACCGTGACAGGTCAGGCATGTCATGTGTCCTTAAGGGGTTAAACAAATCACATTATTAACTGGATACTGTACTCACTAAAACCATATCATCTTATTAAATTGGTCATAGTGCTTGTAGTCCCCTGGCATCGTCCCTCCATTTAGTGTTTAACAACTTTCATGCAGTTTAATATTAAATAAGGGTTCCTGACCACCTATCGCATAGCCCTTACTGGAGGTATGGCTAAGGCAGAGATTACACACTTCCTTAACACAATACCTTTTCATACCAACTATGGTTGCTGTGATAGGTTGAAAGCACTCGCCTAACACCATTGCTGCTCAGGCTAATGCTTCCTCGTTAGCTCCAGAAGCACAGAAGAGACAGATGCAAGAACTCTCATTTAGCATTAAAACGTTTTTTTAAAACCGGTTCCACCAGGAATGGAAGGTTTGCACCAGGAGATTCCAGAAACTACTTCAATGAGTTGAAGCATCTACGGTGTCTACGGTGTCACTTTAAGCAAGTTGAATAAAGAACGTATACAAGAAATAAAATGATTTGGTATTCAACAAAGAAAAGATTTTGATTAAATAAGGAAAACTAGGACTAGGAAAACAAAAATCCAACAATCACCAAAAACAATTACTAATAATTATTGACATAAACTATTTAGGAATTTGCATCTCTACAGATGGATTAGAATGGTTACACATATCTCAAAACATGGCATAATATTCCATGCTACAAAAACAAAGAATATGAGAACTTTGAGAATGGACAAAGCTTAGAGAAACTCAGTAGCTTTCCCTTTGGTAAATCTCCACTCAAGTCTCAATATACACAATGTACAGACTGATCGTACCCGTAAGGGCAATCCAGAACCAAAATGTCGGCCAGTTGACTCTGCACAAGAGATACAGCAACCCCAGATGATCGTTTCAGCCTTTTTTGGGCATCGTCAGTGAAATGTAGCTTATACCCCTCTAGGCACAGTGAGCATGGGGTCCATGTCTGGATTACCATTTTAACTTGGGGAGGGCCAAGTTAAGGTATTTCAACAAAAAGACAGAATATGAGAACTCTGAGAACAAACAGGAGCGTAAAGAAACTCAGTAACTTGCCCTCCTGTAAATCCCCTCTCAGTTCTCAAAATAGCTCTTGCTTATTACAGAGAAAACATAATCTGAAGCAGATCAGACTGATCCCACCCATAAGTGCAGTCCAGAACCAATATGCTTTCAAGTTTTTCTGCACAAGAGATACAGCTACCCCAGACAATCGTTTCTGCCGTCAGTATGGTGCAGCTCTCTAGCGGGTTCACAACTAAATTATTTACCATTTTAACTTGGGGAGAGCATTGAAACAAAAACAAAGAATATTACATGCCTCGGGAGCGGACTGACAACTCGGTCATGGACTGGAGGGCCCAAGGCAGTCAAGGGCCTGGCTGGCTGAACAGCCATACACTCTCTCTGGCTGGGTAGATCGGAGATCTCCCCAGACAAAGAGGCACAATTACACAGGATAGGTTGCTCCCCAGCACCTACCTCACCTGCAGAGTAAGACCTGGCAGCAATCCTGCTGTTGCCAGGTCTCCTCCATTCTCTCCCTGTGCAGAGCTCCGTGTGAGGGGAGGAGGTGGGGCCCGGGGGAGGGGAAGTTACATCACTTCTTGCCCCCTCCTCTTCTCTCCTCCAGAATCTGCTAAGTGGCTGAAGTTAAGGAACAGTCTGGCAGAAACAGCAGATATGTAAATTCCCCATGCCCACCTCCACCTAAGCCCCATGACCCCTCAACCCACCTTAGTACCCACTTCACCAGCACCCACCTCAGCAAGTAACCTCATCCCCCATCCCCCCTCCACCCATCTCCACATTCACCCACCTCAGCCCCCATGCCCCATTTTACCTACCTCAGCCCCCATTTCCCTCAGAACCCACCTCAGCCTCATGCCCCCAACACCCACCTCAGTCTCCATCTTCCCCAGCACTCACCTTAACCCCCAATGCCCCCCTCCACCTACCTCAGCCCCCATCTCCCCCAGTGCCCCTCCATCCACCTCAGCCTCTATCTCCTTTGGGCGGAGGCTGCCTTTAGCTCTGCCCCCGCTGCTGATTTGGCTCCTTCATCTCCCCCAGCACCCACCTCAGCCCCCATGCCCCCCTTCACCTACCTCAGTCCCCATCTCCCTCAGCACTCACCTCAGCCCCATGTCTCCCTCCACCCACCACAGCCCCCATCTCCCTTGGCACCCACCTCAGACCCATGCCCCCCTACACTCACTTCAGCCCCCATCTCCTTCAGCCCTCGTCCCTACACCCACCTCAGCCTCCAACTTCCCCACCAGCCACCTCAGTCTCCATCTCCCTTGGCACCCACCTCAGCCTCCATCTTCCTTGGCACTTACCAACCACCTCAGCTGACATACAGGAACACAACATCACAAGCAGCATCCCACACACTGAACCCCACAAGTAGCCTAAAACAGATGTGTTTTGGAGACTACTTGCATGGACTTGTATGATTGAAAACAAATGGCTTGTAAATACATTGGCTTTGTTTCTTTATTTTAGTGCGGATGGGGGTCGAGGCATGCCAGTAAGGGTTACTCCATTCAAAAACAGTGTTTATTAAAACACTGTTTTTGGTTAGATTAACCTCTTAAAAGCAAATCTGACCCTGTTTGGAGGACTTGCAGGTGGGAGTCATGACTGTGTGGTTCTCACACAGCCAATTTACCCTGCATGCATATAATATCAGTGTGAGAACTATACAAAGAAGGGGGAGAAAAGTAGCAGTAGCCAAAAACCTTTGCACTAGAAGGGGGCCCTTGGTCTCCCATTGCCCGAGGGCCCTGTGAGTTGTCAGACCGCCCCTGCCATGCCTCATCATAAAATCTAAAATAAGGCCAAAAGGCTCCATCAGCTATCTAAAACATTTAAAACCCTTCTTTAAAAAATTACATCATTCCGACTTACCAACAGAATTATCACAATAAAAGGAGGCACATATAATAGCCCTCGTCTATTTTTTATGGGAAAAATATAATTTCTAAAGATCGCTCTAAGGAAGATTTTTTCTTAGATCAGAGATCAAAGCAGGTGGCGTACCTAGAGCATTTGGCACTCGGGATGGGTCCTATTTTTGGCACCCCGCAGCACTTTAAAATGTAAAAAAAATACCGCATTTTTGTTAATATATTTAGCACTGGGCAGTGTTTGTGTGTTTGAATGTTAGCATGTTTTTGTATGGAGTATTTTGAGTGAATGTAGGGGTGTGCTTGTATGTAGTGTTGGCGTTTAAATGCAAGCATGCATTTGTGTGTAATGTGGTTTTTGAATGCAGTGGTGTGGTTATATATAATGGTAGGGTTTGTATGTAGTGTTGATGGTGAAGTGCGGGGGTGTATTTGTGTGTACTGTTGACGAGATTCTGAGATGTATGCACATATACACACTGACACACATGCAGATACATATACACTCATGCAGATACATATACAGACAGACACACATGCAGACACAGAGGCGACTCTAGGTACAATATATGGGTGGGCACATAAGATACCACAGTAAAAACTGGGGGGAAGGGGGTGGAGGGCACTAAAACGTTTTACTAGGGAGTGGGGTAATATGCTGCCAATGGCTGTCTGATTGGCTGTCTGATAAACAAAGATTAAAGTTAAAGGGAAACTCCAGTGCCAGGAAAACAATCCGTTTTCCTGGCACTGCAGGTCCCCTCTTCCTCACACCTCCCAATCCCCGGTTGCTGAAGGGGTGAAAACTTTTGTTGCCATATATAAGGACACCAAATAAAGGAGCTATTTGCTAAATAGAACACTAATTTAGTATCTTTAAATATGGAAATGTCACATAAGGGCACCAATTTAGGGAATTATCTACTAAACAGCTAAAAGATAAAAATTTAAAAAGCCATTTTCTTTCAATTATTTGGTAGATAACTCCGTTATTTTTTTTATCCTTATGTGAGATTGCAATATTTAAGGACACCAAATAAGAGAGCTATCTACAAAACACATAAACATGTATATAGACACGTATATAGGCCAGCTTATGTGTCCCCAGGACAAGAGGCAGGCAAGGCATTTGCCAGGGCGATTGGTGGGTGGCTTTTTTTGCTGTCCCCCAGAAAGTTCCGCCAAAGGCAAAAGCCTTGTCAGCTACACAGTAAATACACCCCTGGGCGGAGGCTGCCTTTAGCTCTGCCCCCGCTGCTGATTTGGCTCCGCATCAACAGTCAATTTTGCTCTGCCACCAGTTCTCCGAGAAGTTCTCCTGCTCCTGCTCCGGGCCCCTGTGTGTGTGAGCTGTGTTAGCGGGCCGGCACCCTGTGCCGCCACACAGCTCACACCTACTCAAGCCTGGCCAGCCCTGGTGGCACCCCCCGTACCTGGTGTCATCTGGGGCTTAGCACCCATCCCTCACCCCCTCCTTGGTACGACACTGGATCTTAGTTCGCCACTGGTGAGCACAAAAAGGTTCACCGTTGTCGCCATTAAAAAGGAGCAATGAATAAGATCTGAAGAAGAATCTGCAGGATATGTTCATGAAAACTAAAAGAATAAAGCATATGTGTTTAGAGTT